TTTGCTCAAATTCCCTGACAATTGAGGTTACAGCAGATGGTTAAAAAGCGGTATAATTGAAACATAATTTTCAGGCAAAATTTGTTGCTTATAACGCCAAGCAATTTTAGAAATCAAATAAAGAGGATTTGATAATTTTTCCTTGCCACTTCCATCATTTTCCCTGACTTTTAAAATTCCCAGGCATTTCCCGGGATTTCCCCATCAGTTTTCCCTGACTGTGGCAATCATGTCACCGTTTAACTCTTCAGGGTGTCTACTGAAACAGGCTGGCCAAAAATCAGTACGTTTACAGTACTTTTTCAGTACATTCCCAAAAAATTCAGTACCTCCTCAACAGAGAAATTCAGTACTTTTTCAGTACCTCAACTTGACGAAATTCGAAAAAATTTCAAAAATTTGAGAATCTCGCTCAAATTGAGACAAAAATTACCAAAAAATGAAACAAATTCCGAACCGCTTGCGGAATTTCCGCACTTTTTCAGTACTTCCGGACCCCTCTTAAAAAATCAGTACTATTTCCGAACTTTCCGGACTTGTATACACCCTGCTCTTTCTACAAAGGGACTCGAGGAACTCTGGAACGCAAAAACATCGAAAGAGGTGTTTACTTATCACCAATAAATTGGCAACAATCGTTGCAGCGGACGTGGATGGCAGTTTCATGGGCGCGCGCCTCGCTCCACGCCCCCAATCACCCGACTGTCAGCTTCTCAACGGCGATAAACCCGTCGAGTTGCCGTTGCCGATCGTGGATGGAAACCACGAAACTGATCGACTGTCAGAGGAGGCCGAGGTGTATTTCCTGCCCCGGACAACAGCGCGGCTCGTCAAATCACCCTGACACTCAAACGGAACGTCATCGGAACAAAATCGAAACCGCTCCGGATTTGTCTCGCTGCAGAAACGCCTCTGATCCGGAAAATTGCCGGGATTGCGTTCGCGAGTCCATCGCTTTTCGGAATGACCCGTCATCGTCAGAGCGTTGACAAACACCGAGAATTACGCGGATTAAAAAACGGAATGGGTTATGAAAACGGATTGATTCTCGGTGATGTAAGGCTCTTTTCTTGACAGTGCACTTCGGATGCGTTCTCTTTGGCAGCGCGTGGATTGTGTTTTAATGGACAATTACTCACCTCTTTTAGCAATGGTGGATTGTTGTTCGAATTAAGATAAATTATCTTACCTGAAACAAACGAAGAAAATAGTACATTAATGTTTATTTGTAAACAAATATTACATCAAAATGAACAAGTATTAAAGTTGGAAAAGGACACAGCGAACGCTTGGTTATATTTTAATACAAAGAAAGAAAACTCAACACATAAGTTTGGTTAATGCGGGAAGTAAAACACAAAATGACCCAGCCTTCGGCTGACTCTGAGTTTTCTCTTTCTCTTCATTATTTTCTGCGCTGACTTTACCGCAAACTATACCAAAATCAAGAGAAAATTTGTGTTCGTTTGTGATTGTGTTTCACTTCTTATTGGGACACCATTAAGGACACCATTAAAGGGGACCATTAAGGACACCAATATTTTCATAAGTATATACCGTTTTACAGAGGGTGGCCACAGAAATTTTTGAGCTTTTCCGAGGTTTCACTGAAATATCTTGAGAAATTAAAACAAATAATCGGCAGATAACTTATGATATCCCGGATTTCGATGTCGAGCAAAATAGAATATTTAAAACCATTGATATTTACAGGGAATTTCAAAATAAACTGGAATATGGGTCCACCTAAATGAGCCGAAAGTTTGATTGGAGGGACCGAAAAGTTCAGGCAACATTAAGAACCGAAATTGGACGTATTTGAATCAAAAGGACCTATATCCATAGTGGGATGAGCCCTTTCATGCAGGTATTCTTATACATCTCAGGGCTCATGTCAGAATGGATATAGCTCGATCCTTCTGATTTAAATACATCCAATTCTGATTTCTGATACCATTTTTCCCCGGCTTTGCTAACCGGACAGCATTCGCACAAAGATTCGCTCAACAGAACTTACGCAATCCGCGAGTTACTACGGGCCGACCACTTTCGGTCTCCTCATTTCCGAATGCAATCGGAAAACCGATTGGATGGTCAGTGCACTTTCGATGATTTTCGCCGGGAGTTGCAGCTCCGACGGATACCGACATAAATTAACTGCAACTCTTTTCCTTTCCGTGGCTATGAGATCACTCCTCAAAGAGAGTGAAAACTCATTCCTAGCTCTTCAGCTTCGAATCACTGCGGCCGAGTCTCCGGGTTTTCGCATCGAGTATCAACACTCGGGAAGTTTTCTTCCGCGATGAAAATTCTTGAGATTCTTGCTACAAAGTGAATCGCTTTTTTGGCCATTTTCGACCGCTATGGAAATACCGCCTATGTGCAAACTGACGAGTTGGACAAAGAAGAAACTTGGACGTTTTTGTAATTTTGAGGTTAAATTTGAATTTTTTTTCTATACATTACAGCGTCTTTACAACAGACTCCCATACGGGAGTAACCTCAGAAAAGAAAACCTCAGTTCATACGGCATACCAACATTTCTGGTTAAAGTAACAAAGTTCTCAGTCATACAAACCGAATTTCGGCTTAAGGAACAACAATTTTGCTAGGCATTCTTGATTCGATTACCTGAACTAGAATTCAGTTTCCTGGACCAAAAACTTCAGTTTTAAGAGTTAAAAACTTTGATTTGCCCCATAAACAAAAGTTAGGTCTCTGTAACCATAGTCTCTAACCATAGTCTCTATTTCACGTGCCTGATAATCATAAATTTTTCAAACCACATCCACGCGGCATAAGAAATACAAAATTGGATTCTGCGGGTTCAGCGAGTGTAGCAATCCTCGGTCTGAAGCATGCGCACTCGCACACTCAAGGTTTCACGTTTCCTGTCAATAATTGTAACTCCGAGTAAATAACGGTCCTCGTCGTGAAAAAATCCACATTTCGGAGCCACGATAATGTACATAGCTCCGACCTCCGGAGCTTTTTTATCTAGTCGGCGCTGAAACCGCAAACCAGTTCATTTCGGAGGCGGTTTCGTTTCTTTCGTTGGCAGCCTGTCAACCAGTGGTGAGGCGTCAATCGATATTTCCCCATCTGAAGCTGTGGGTAAAAATCGATACACCCTCCGAATCGATGATTTACCATAGGTTTAAAAGGAAGAAAAGTCTAGTGGCATTGCTCGATTAATCGATGATTCCTTATTTGAAGCTATGGTAAAGGATCGATTATTAAGGCGTTCGTTGCAAACACCCTGTCAATCGATACTTTCCCATCTGTTTACATGGTAGATGAATCGATATATCGCAAGGCACGCCACGCCATTGGATAAATCGATTCATCGCAAAGCACAACACGCCGCCACTGTCAACGGCATCGCGCCTCGTGCGTGCAGGGTACGTTATGATGGAACAATCGAGTCCCATTTTCCAGAGCCGGCCACGCGCCCCAATAACGAAACCGCGTACAACCCCGAGCGAGAGTACGAGCAGTTACGTGGTTTTAGCGCGGCGGCAGAAAAACGGAATCGGGTATGGGAACGCGGCTATCTTTATTGTCCATCGGTGGCGGGTTTACGCAAGAGTTGGATATATTCGTGCTAAAAGGAACTATGTTGCACGATAACCCTATGCACATAGATCTTTTTAGCATGAATACGTCCAGTTGAACTGTTTACGCCCGGTTCGGTGATAATTGCTGAGCAGGGCGCCAAGAACGAGGCGCGCGCTGGAACTGGAGTAAACATACGGCCACCGCCCGGGCCGCGGTTGCTTTTTTCTTCTTCTTCTTCTTTCTTTTTTTTTCGTTGCATCATCAAAGGCCTCGGACACCATCCTTTGCATATTTTTAAAGTTCGTTCGAGTGAATTTGACCAAGAGGCGAGACGGCATTTGCACGGAGAAAAAGTGCATTCCGCATGGTTTGGGAAATCGGGCAAGAAATGAGGAACTGTGGAATTGTGGCAGATATGTCCTTCTTTCACAAAACAGCTTGGACTGCTATTTTTAGCAGTATCATGACGGTCGGTTTGCATGCGTTTTTGTTGGCAGAATTGAAAATCCACCGAATTTTGTAGCTCCCTTTGTGTTTTAGCAGCCAGCCTTTATAATAAATTTCCAAAACGAATTAAAGATATTGAAGATAATAGGGCCTTCTTTAAAAATGCGAAAAATGAACATGGTGAAATATATGGCGATTCATCATCATTATGAGTAGCCGAGAACCGAATACTTTTGTTAATTGAACCGCGTTATGCAGAAAGGAACCAAGCCACATCAGCTACTGCCAAATTTAATTGGGCCAAAATGGAGGGGATATCCCACGCTATCCTGAGAGTCCACCTCTAGATCAAGACAAACTCTCCATGCAAAGATAAGGATAACATTCGCAGTTATTCCGTGTTTTCAGTTTTAGAGTCCCGAAATAAAGTGGCAGCCCTGTCAATGTATTTGCTCTCTATCTTTGCATGGAGAGTTTGTCTTGATCTAGAGGTGGACTCTCAGGATAGCGTGGGATATCCCCTCCATTTTGGCCTCAACTTTAGAGCTTTGTTTTCAGAGCTACGGTGTTGATTTCAGAGAAAACCAGTGGCACCATCCGTGTTTCTTGCGAACTTTCACATGAAAATCAACAGTCAAATCGCAAATTCCTCACACATGCAACATCTTCATTGGAAGTATCCACATCATCCAACAGCCCCCTGCTTTTTTCCGTGTTTGACTTATCGTCAGCCAGTCCAAGGGAGGGTCTTCATTTGTGACTTTCTTTACTCTACCTCCACCACTATATGATATTCCGTATACATACATACATACATACACGCTCACATACATACATACACCCTTACATGAGTCGCTTTTATAGCGCTCTTTGGCGCTGTGCGACGCCTAATTGCCACAAAACTCGGTCTTCCCACAGGTCATCAGGGAGTTGACACTCCCTCATTTCATATTCTGTATACAGCATGTAATTGACAACATGTGTTGATGTTTCAGACCCTGCGCTCTGCGGCGATTCCATTCCCACCTCCACGACTAAGGAGCCCCGGCGACTGTTGGAGCTCGGTGGCCCGCTGAGCGGTGGACGGTGCACGTTCGACGGCCGACACTCCTGCCACAGAGACGTCACGTCGGAATGAGGCCGGGGGCAACGTCACAGCGCGACGTCTGAACGCGCATGAGCCCCGATTATACGTTGGACCGCCCCCGCCCCCACCCCGCCGCGAGACACACCGCTCCGCATCTCTACCCTCAGTCCTAGGTAAGCCCCTCAACTCTTCAACGAGCAATTGAACTACATTTTCCAATTAACAACTCATTTCTAGCCCATCCGTAAAAATACTCGTATGAATATGGAGAGTTTTTTTTTTTTTTTTTTTTTTTTTTTTTTTTTGATTTATTTGTCAAATATTAGAGGTACGTGAAAACATTTTCTTGCAATGGAAGATGAGGAAAGAATATAAGGACAAAAAAGAAAGAGTAAGAAAGAATATAAGGACAAAAAAGAAAGAAGAGGACAAAACACAGCTTGATTGAATTAAATTAACATATAAAATTGAACTATATATTAAAGTTAAAAATTATATCAGCCATGGTCTTAAAGGGCGTGTCTTCCTTCGTTTGAAGGGAGAGTCAAGATGCGGTTGTGACTGCTCCGGAAATTGATGAATATGGAGAGTAATGGTACATACGTCGCTTTTAAACTGAGCCAGTCTTTGTAGTTCCAAATTGCAAAATGGACCGATTGGACCGCGCGCGTTGAACAGAAAGAAACCACGCCACATTAGCTACTGTCAAATTTTATTAGGCACTTCAATTTTTTACATGAAAACGGTTGTGAAGATTCCTTTGAATGTTTAAAGGTATTTAAAAGAGTTGCTGTAAAAACTATTCAAAGTGTAGATGCGCCCTTGCGTCAGTGGAGCAACAACATAGCCATAGCCGTAGCCACAGCCGCAGCAGCTAATTGTAAGTTCTGTAGCGATAGCATGACAACGCCTGGATGCAACTATTCGTGTCCCAGAGGTGAGCGTGCTACATATTCTGAGAATTGAAGGCGTTTTAGTTTAGCTGGCTCTTACAACGTTGAATAAGACCATTACACTTTAAACAGCCCCTGTTCGTTTTTGAAAGGATTTTCTTCAGGAAAGTTTGACATATTTATGCTAAAAGGAACTATATTACACGCAGACCCTATGCACATAGTTCATTTTAGCATACGAGTGTCCACTTAACCAGGGGCAAAGAAAACCCAAAGGAAAATTTCGAAAAACGTCCGAGAAATGGACAAATTTATGCTAAAAGGAATTATGGGGGATAAGGTTCGCATGCCATATAGTTCCTTTTTGCATCAGTACGTCCTAATGTGAGACGCGTTCTTGACGAGGTAATGCCCTGCGTAAGTCTCAATATTCTCCATGCGCAGTTTAACGACCGCACCCAATCGTCAATGCTCATGAGATATCTTTAGATTCCTTTGATAGTCCACTTGACGATGAGTTTTATTTAACGAGGGACCTGGGGCGCCTGAGACACGAATAGAGCAGTTCGATGGTGTGGGCAATTTGAAAGAATGACAAAAGAACTCATAAGTAAAATTGAAGCATCTATTGCCAAATTAAACGAAAATCATAAAGAATTGTTGGTTGGATGGTGCGCCAGGTTGCCATCCCCGTTGAACGAAAGAGAATGATAGCGTATTAAGATTTTTTTCGAGTGCGTAGAAATCTAGTTACTCGATAATTTTGAAATATTTTATATTATGCCCGGGTTTTTCTATTCTAACCAAAATACCTACGTGGTTCGGGAGTTTCATAATCAAAATGTGAAGTATGCACGTACCCTAATTTATCGATTTTTTTTTTTTTTTTTTTTTTTTTTTTTTTTTTGAGGAATAAAATGCGAAAAATCTTGCAAATTTTTCACCTAGACCTGATCCCAGGATTCAGAGAAGCGAAAATCCTAACTTAAGAGGGAAAAAATTCGATTCTAATTTTCTGTTTCAACTTTAAGACTTTTTCGCATGAAACACAAAAATTTGAAAGCTTCCGCTCACGCTACTTCGAATATAAGTGTACCCTCGGAAGGCAAAGACACGATAGTCTTTCATTCCTTACCGATCCCGGGGCCAAGAAATTAGATGATTGAATGCACAACTTTGCAAGTGTGGGCAAAAAAACTACAAACGGAAAACTAGCCATTCAATACTTTTTATTCTTCCTTTGTCCCCTGTTATCGGGTCCAATAAAAGTTTGAATGGGACGGGCAGAGGATGCACAACGGGACGTATTTCTGCCAAACGGAACTATGTGCATTAAGACATGAGCCCTGAGACCCATTAGAATTTATGCATAACAAGGCTCACGTCATAATGCACATAGTTCCGTTTGGCAGAAATACGTCCAACTGACCTTATTCATGGTAAAAGGAACTATGTGCATAGAGATTGCAGGTAACATAAGTCTTTAAAGCATAAACACGTCCAACTGCATGAAAGGACCCGTGAAGCTTGAATCGTACACGCTGAGCAACACTTGTTTGACTTATCTCTTAAAGGAAATTCGTGAATGTTTATCGAGCGTTGAGGAGGTCCTTAACCTCTTTTCGACACGAATCCGTTACAGACAGCTCTGCCTGGAGGAGAGGTGCCTTTCCTTGTACCATTAGAGCCATCCGTTTTTCGCTTCTTTCAACTCGATTTACGAAATGCAATAATGGACCACTAGACGAGGTACGAAGTTAAGCATTCTGATACATGTTTCTCAACCAAAAACGCAGAACACGATTGGCGCAACGAAAATTACTGAAATTGACTCCTAACCAAGAAATTCAATTTTTCTGTGTTTTGTTATTTCCTGTCGGCACAACGAGAAAAGTTTCAAAGATACGCTTACTGGTGATGAGAATAGGTCAATGATATCGTAGGTTTGCTGCCCTCTTGGGCCCTACCTTCTTTACAAAGGCATCTATGTGGGGGCTTGATAGATAATCAGACTTTTGGACTCTCTCAGCAGAGGTATGAGAACGTATAGTTGAGGCTATATCGTCAGTCCCCTGACGTCAGAACGTGTCTCGATTTCCCTATGAGCCCTGTCCTCCATATAACTCCATCCTACCTGGGGCTCACGTGCGCGAAAGGAAATTCGCCCTTACACCAGTGGCGCAACGATATAGGGCAATTTTACGCACTGAAACGCATGAGAATCACAGTTAAGTTTTTCCCACGTGGATCTTCATCCGACGGTTGCCCCGTAATTGCGTCACGATAAATTAATATGAACTAGTTACTCAAAGTTAAATCCAGAGTCACATAACGAGGTTTGAGTACTACGATAGGAATTGCATTCTAGCATGCTAAAAAAAACGGCGTAAGAACATTCGGACGTTGCCGAATTCCCCGCGATAAAACATTCAGTTCTGAGAGAAGTCATTCATATTTTTCCTTGGAATTTTCAGATACCTTACGTTAAATTATGAATAAGAGTATCTTGAAAATTCATACAAAAACATCCGTAAGTTTCCTTCGAACTAATTTTATACATTAAAGATGATTTTCCAATGTCTGAAGGCTCACACGGCGTTCTTTCAAAATACGGCAGCACTGCCGTGATAAGGAAGAACGCTGTATGAGCCTTTAGACGTTGCCAAATTTCCTTCGATGAAAACCGAATTTCCTGAGGAAATCGTGAGTATTTTTTTTTCGAAACTTTCAGACAATTTTGTACACCGGAAAAAAAAAACACATTGGATCTAGAGTCCAGACTCTTAAAAAAATCGACAAGAAAAAATACTCTTGATACAATCGGATTTTTGCTTAGATCAAGAACCAAACCTCTGAATCTGAGCGGATTTCCTTTTGATCTAAGTAAAAATCTGATTGAATCAAGAGTATTTTTCTTCTCAATGTTTTCAAGATTCTGGACTCTAGATCCAATGTGTTTTTTTCCTGTGTACGCAATTGAATCTAAAATGCTGAAAATTTTGAGGAGAAATATGCATGAATGTCGTCAAAAATACATTTTTAATCAGGGATTAAAAATAAGGGATAATTAAGGGAAATTGGGCAACGCTCAAATGTTGATACGGCGTTCTTCCTTAGCACGTCAGAGCATTCCTCCTCGTGCCACTCCGGGAGTGCTCTCACTGGACAGGAGAACTCATTTGGTGACTCTAACGGTGCAGATCCTTATCAGTGCTTCGCCGCACCGGGCGCATCGAAAGCCCGAATTCGACACTCTTTTTACCTAGGAGCCCACCTCGACTGCCGTATGAGCCCCTGGAAGCATGAGTTCTTACGAGAAACAGGGCTCACAAAGAAATCTAGGTACGCCCTTGCGTCAGCGGGCGACGAATTTTGAGAGGTCATGCCTTCACGTCCACAACCTCGGATGGAAAATGTCGGGTGCCGTCAAAGCGCAGGCAGGGTTGCCGGTCTATCGATTAAGTCCCGCTTCATAGACTGGGGGAAAAAAAACACACTGGATCTAGAGTCCAGACTCTTGAAAACATTGACAAGAAAAAAATACTCTTGATTCAGTCAGATTTAAGCTTAAATCAAAAGGAAATCCGCTCAAATTAAGAGGCTTGGTTCTTAATTTAAGCAAAAATCCGATTGAATCAAGAGTATTTTTTCTTGTCGATGTTTTTAGGAGTCTGGACTCTAGATCCAATGTGTTTTTTTTTCCAGTGTATGTTTTAAATGAACGAATATTATGCACCATTAGATACAGTTAGAACATTAAACATCGCAATATGCTTTTAGCATGAAACCTCGGTATGGAATACGATATGCACAAAAAATTTCAAAAAAAGAAAAATTACGGTTTTCATTTGCATGTATGCTGATTCAAACTTCCTACTTGCCAAGTAACTAAAGTCTACTTAACTCAAATTAGGCTCATGGCGGGATTCACGATGAAATCTTTCTCTGCGTCTCCTGAAGTCTCTTTAAATATGATGCAGCACCGCAAAGCATTTTCCTCATCACACTTCGAGGAAGAATACAAGAGGCACGGTGCACGGTATTTCCACCGGTGGAAATCGTTCGCTAGATTTGCATGCAAATGCAGACTTTCCTCTCGCAAAAGAACCATAGTCGACCTATTTTTATTTGGGCATTAAGATTTCAGCGTTTTTCAAGATTAGATATATTTTTGGGTCTGCTGAATTTATCTTGACGATTTTACCAATGTCGGGCATTACAGGAGAGAGCAACAGAGGAGGGTTAATAGAGGATTATTAGATCGAATGATCTAGAAATTA